ATATATATATATATATATATATATATGTTATTCATCTTTGTTAATGTTAATTGTTAAAAAATACAATTGTTCAGCGACTGTTCATGTTATTGGCATTATGCAATAATGCATATTATGCATATGCATTTGTAGTTTCCCTTTCAGACACAAAATTTATGTGAGGACAGTATTTAAATGAATCATGTAACATGAGTTACTAAGGTTTGCGCAAGTCATTTTACTGGTATTTGTGCCATTATTTACCACGTCTTAACCCATTCTTTGCCTGTGTTGTTAGTAGATTACCCACACCTGATTATCTGCTACGCTAATTTGCACTGCTCTTGGTAGACTGCGTTAGTCATTATGGAAATGCATTGGCTGCGTCTGTATTCTTGTAAGCAGATCACCTGCAGAACTTCCCACTCTCTGCTTTAATGGTATATTGTTCTCATGCTAATTTGCCCTGTTTAGTAGATCTGGCTGCTTATGCTAACAGATACAATTGATTTTAAATATTAGTAAAAGTTGAAATTTACAATAAAATTAATAAAACCTGTAGAGCTATTGTTCATAGTTAATGTTAACTAGTGTAGTTAACTAATGGAACCTTATTGTAAAGTTTAAAGTAAATTTACTACAAATTATGCTCTCCTTAAAGAAACTTTTGCCAGATTCTAAAACACAACACACATAGAATCTGGCCAAAGTTTCTTATAGGAGGGCATAATTTGTCCTCATCTTAACATTTGCAATTCAGAAGTCTTAAAATGTCTAGGTAGCAGTTGTGTTTGTCATACCTTGGCTGCCATGATCATGGAAGAGCCTCCACGGATGCCCAGGATGGGGATGTGCGTCTGAGCCGAGATGAAGTCCAATATCTGGGCGATGGCCTCCTGATCGGTATCGTCCCCAAACACCACACCCTGGAGCCAGTTCCGTGACATCAGAGCACAAATGCGGTTTATGATACTCTTGGGGTCGGTTTCGTTCATCGTGACTAATTCGACTTTGCTGTAGAGCTATTGTTCATAGTTAATGTTAACTAGTGTAGTTAACTAATGGAACCTTATTGTAAAGTTTAAAGTAAATTTACTACAAATTATGTTCTCCTTAAAGAAACTTTTGCTAGATTCTAAAACACAACACACATAGAATCTGGCCAAAGTTTCTTATAGGAGGGCATAATTTGTCCTCATCTTAACATTTGCAATTCAGAAGTCTTAAAATGTCTAGGTAGCAGTTGTGTTTGTCATACCTTGGCTGCCATGATCATGGAAGAGCCTCCACGGATGCCCAGGATGGGGATGTGCGTCTGAGCCGAGATGAAGTCCAATATCTGGGCGATGGCCTCCTGATCGGTATCGTCCCCAAACACCACACCCTGGAGCCAGTTCCGTGACATCAGAGCACAAATGCGGTTTATGATACTCTTGGGGTCGGTTTCGTTCATCGTGACTAATTCGACTTTCGGAGGGAGAGGCACGTGGAGGAAGTCCTCTTTCTCCAGACCTTCAGAGAGGGACCCCTCGCTGGAGTTTCCCACAAGGATCACTGCGATGCTAAGGCCTTGAGCAAACTTTGGTGGCAAAGGAGGACCCACTGGATTGACTCCTGGTGGAGGATAATGAGGAGGACTGATTATCGCTTGGCTGCGGTCGCCGCCGCTCATGCCTCCGATGGGCGTCCCAATCCCGCCTCCACGGCGAGACTCGCAGGTGGGGAAGAAGAAGAGAGAGAGGAGAAGGAGCGAGAGGGAGAGGGGCGGTTTGGAGGAAGAAGCCAGGGAGCCGAAAGACAGGACGCGACAGTCGGAGAAAGGGGAAGAGGAGAGGTGGAGGCTGACAAGCATGGCGGAGGAGTGAAGATACAGTCCCTGCAGACAAAAAAAGAGAGGAGAGAGGGAGAGAACTTCAGTTTGGCAGCTAAATTCACAATATCTACATGATTTGAAATTGAATCTGACTGGAGAAAGTTTAGTTGCTGTACACAAGTCAAACCGACGAGAGACCTGTGGTTTTAAAAAAAGAGCATGTGTCCTCATTTCAAGGGTGTGTCCTCTTCATTATTGACATATGTTGGACAGAAATCACAGAAATATTGGCAGTCTTGGGATTGAGGTCGTTTGCAGCTGTCACACACACACACACACACACACACACACACATTTTCTAACTAAGGACAGACAAAACACTTCTAATATTTATATATAAAGCTAATTAAAATTTGTAGGATGAACCCCAAAACAAATTGTACATTTTTTAGCATTTTTAGATTGATAAAAATATAGTTTGTAATTTGTACCCTTAAATAACATCCCTAGAGATTCCAAACAGATGTTTTGTCTAATGGCAATTTGGTCCTCAAACTATTGCACACTTTTTTAATGCTGGAGATTTGTCATTGACAATGCATTCTGGGTTTTCTTTATCCACTAAAAATAAACGTGTTGTGTTTTATCTGTCCAAAGTTTCTTATAGCAGAGTATAATTTGTTTTCATCTTAACCTTTGTACCTAAAATGTCCTAAAATACCTAGGTTGCAGTTGCACCTGTCATACCTTGGCCATGATCATGGATGAAATCCCAAGACATACCAAATGGAGGTTTTGTCAAATTTAGCTAACTTCTGATGACAATTTGGTCCTCAAACTGTTGCACACTTTTTTTTCAATGCTGAGGAATGCATCACAATGCATTCTGGGTTTTCTTTCTCTTGGGGACTTGTCGTTGACATCAGTTTTTTATATTGAGCTAATGCTATTTTCTGACCCTTTTGGGGATATTTGGTTCCTACAGTGTAGACAAAGTCTGGCCCACAAATGTATGCACTTCAAAAATAAGCTCAAAGAGTTCAAAAGACCTTGATTGTGAAACACAATGAGAGAGGGAGTAACTATGTATATACAGAGAGAGAATGAGAGAGTAGTGTGCATACACTGAATACCAAATGCAATTAGATGAGTAAGATACAAGTTGATTTATCAGCAAACAACATATTCACTCACACACACACACACACACACACACACACACAAATACACATACAGTAGTGACTGATATTTGCCAATTATCTTTCTGTGAAGACTTTGAGAAACACTTGTTATTTAGAGCAATTTTCATTAGCAGAGGTGTGGAACAAGTAAGTTATTAGCTAATATGTTTTTATCTGTTTTTATTTCTGAAGCACGTTAAAAAAACACAAAATCTGTGCTGTTTCATGTAGATCTATTTTCCATTGAAACAGGAAGTATGCATGAACATACACCACCATTCAAAAATTTGGGTTCAGTCAATGTACTTTTTACACAGCAAGGAAGCATTACATTTATCAAAAGTGACAGCAGAAACATATTACTACAGTATATATATACACTGTACATTATACCAGTAGCAGCTTATTTTTAGAAGGTAAAAAAAACTGAACGACATACCAGCTAACAGCCACAAATCTCATTTCAAGGGGTCTTTAAAGAACAGGCACAGAAAAAAAAAATAGAGGAGGACAAAAAAATGAAAGGACAGCATAAGTGAGGCATTGCTCAGAAAGAAAGCAAACACGCTTGAATAAAGAAGACTGCTTTTACAAGGCTAATTATTGGAGGTTTGTCAGTGCTAATTGCAGGTACACATGCTAATTGTGAATTAGCTCTCTTCTGCTGCAGAAGAGAGAAGAGACAGAGGAGGACAAAGTGTGGGAGGAAGAAAGAGAGAAATCGGTTGAGGGGGAATGGAAAAGTATAGAGATGAACTGCAAAACGAAATTGAAAAAAAAACTAAAATTAGGCAACTAAACAAATGAAGCAAAGACAGAAAGAGAGCAGTGACAAAAAAAGAGAAAGCGTTCTAATCATCAGCTCATTAAAAGTAGGTAAGCAAAGGGAAGCACACAGATCGGAAGGATAAGCACTAGATAGGGAGATAGAAGACTAGGAGGACAGCAGCTGGGAGAACAAGAGAGGGAGGAGAGACTAAGATGCTCTATTTGGCTCTGCCTCTCATTTTAACAGCACTTGGTTTCCATAGCAACTATTCAAATGAACCTTCCTCCACACACACACAAAAACAGAGACTGCTATATACAGACACAGTTATATAGATTTTGTGGTCTTAAAGTCCATAGTAACACCTATTCACAATCAACTGAAAATGTTATACAAATTGTGAACATACATGATACCACCATCTCTTGCAAAAAAAAATAAATACATACATAAAATAAAACACACACACCTCCCACACATTTTCTCCTAAGAAGCTAAAGGCTCAATGTCAGCTCCACAAATGTTTTTTTCAAACTGTATGTTACAGAATCGTCTGAAATGCTGGCACTGAATTACAGCTGATCCACATGTAAAACACACACCAACTATATACAGCAGACTTCTGAAATTAAACAGCAGTTGGTTTTAAACAGGTGGTTTTAGTTCAGAAAACCCTCTACATTGCGAGTAAATCACTCGCATACACTCTTAAAAATAAAGGTGCTTCACGATGCCATAGAAGAACCTTTTTGTCTAAATGGTTCCATAAAGAATCTTTAACATCTGAAGAACCTTTCTGTTTCACAAAAGGTTCTTTGTGGTGAAAAAAGGTTCTTCAGATTACAAAAAGGTAAGAAAGAGATGGTTCTTTAAAGAACCTTTGGCTGAATGGTTCTTTGTGGAACCAAAAATGGTTCTTCTATGGCATCGCTTGAAGAACCTTTTGAAGCACCTTTATTTTTAGAGTGCTAGAGTGTATGCGACAAAATTTTACTCTGGGCAACTAAATGATGTCTATCGTTAGCCATTGGCTAATAAATTCTAAGATTTTACTCGCCAGTATGCCTGTGAGAGGCTAATTACAAGTTTAGCACAGATATACTTTCACTCGCCGAACACTCTGAGCGCTTCAGAGTTTCACTCTCCGTCAACAAATCTGTACTATTCAGTTCACCTCAGTGGATGCGCAGCGTACTTGTATTTGACGCACCGTAAACTCTAGTGAAGGCACATGACTCGCCGTCGCTTTGCTGATAGCGCTGTTTCTCACACATGCAGAGAGAGAGCGCAAGAGAGTCTTACATACCACGCTGAATCGACGAGCTACATGTAAACCATATTCTTAGTTTTATTTTCCTGTCAAAATAACGGGGTTCATTTAGAATTATTCAGCTTTTAAGAACAAGCAGAAGCAGTAGTGGGTGGAACTAATGCACAAACGGCAATCTCATTGGCTGGCACTCATCTATTACCATCCCTGTTTTAATTTCAGCAAATCAGTTCGAGGGAACGCCGACAACGTGATTCATATTCATGAACCCAGCGGCTCATCAATCCAAGTACGTTGTATATTGTTAGTATAGTAGTAGAACTAGTAGTAGTATTATCTTTTTATAATAATTACTATTATCTATTACTATTATCTATTTTTTTTAAAGTAACCCTGAATGGCCAACAATATCTTAAGCATCACCAGCAGTCCTAAGTTCAGTTAAAATGACAAATAAGCATTCATACATGGTTACCAAGTTTTAGTTCTAATCACTGAAGTTCTATTGTAATTAATAATAATTAAATAGTGCTTAATTATCATAATATCATAATATAATGCTTGATTAACTGATTAAGAAGCTAAGATTTAAGAAGCTGAGCCATTTTACAAAGATAAACTGTTTTGGTGAAATTATATATATGTGTGTGTGTGTGTGTGTGTGTGTGTGTGTGTGTGTGTGTGTGTGTGTGATTTGTGAAAAAAGCAGAGGGGGGGATGATTTTGAAAACTTTTTTTTTTGAGAGCAAGGCTTTAAAGTATATGTAACGTGGTTCAAAGTGTGGAAGGAAGGAGGCGGGAACGCTCAAAGAAAAATTTAATAAAATAAACAAACACAAAATAGTGCGACAGCCCCTCACGGATGACTGTTGCGCACAGACAGAACCAAAACACAAAATAAAGTCCAGGCCTGGTCCGCTCTCGTCCAACACTGTCGTCACTCCTCCTTTTATCCTTCCGGAGCTCCTCCGTGGGACTCGAGACCGGTGAGTGGTGCAGGTGTTGTGCATTAGCATTTACTCCACCGGCCTCGCTCCGTTCCCACGAATCATTTGATTCTGATCTGGACTTCGGCGCTGTTCGCAGGATGTGTTTTATCCCCACCGGAGATCAAAAATAATTCAGCAGAGGCAGGGATGCTTAGACCAGAGGGGGGGAAAATCCCCCCCCCCATCCCCCCCGGCAAATCGCACCCTGTGTGTGTGTGTGTGTGTGTAAAATAGTATATCACAGGCGACTAAACTAAAAAATTTACTAGCCAATGGCGATTATATTGCCACGGTGTGCATAGAGGGTTGCCAGGGTAAATTCATGCTCATATTCTTTTGATGTTTATACTGGGTTAAAGGCATAAAGAACATTTTTACTATTTTTAAAACCATGGCACAACCAATGTAAAAACTGTTTTTATACCGTATATAGTGTAGTATATAATTTATTATAGTTATTATTTGTTATTACAGTTTTTTTACTTCATTATTAATATACTTTTATATAAGTACTAATAATAAAACAATTTAATAATATAATATATTTAAGCTGAGCCGAGTAGTCCCTCAGCTCACTCATGGATCATTTTGTATTTTGGGGAGCTGTATTAAACTTTCATTGTTTTGATGCTTGAAAACCCTTTTTCGTCTTTGACCCTGACATATAGATCATATATCTGTTGTAACATTTGTTTTGTTTTTGTATTGCCAACAATTCGCCTCTTCAAAGAAAATGCTCCCAGACATACATATACATGTATCTTCAAGCTGCATCTATATGCCTGTTGTCACTCTACACTCGTGTTTGTTGTCAAGAACTCCAGAGTCGCTCTACATTTCCTGGATGGCAACTA